TGTATCCAGAATAGGATTTCATGTCAGAGTTCATGTTTAGAAGCAGGGACTCTGAAATCAGACTACCTGGCTTGAGGCCTGGCTATGGTTACTGTGGGTAAGGAACCAACCTCTCTGTGCCTCACTTCCTCCAGCACTGAGGCCTGAACAATCCATACGTGTGAAGTGTCTGGAACGATTCTGGGCTCTTGGTATTAGCCTTCACCTAATGGGGGCTATTTACCCTCGAGCAAATTACCCAACTTCTCAGTGCTATTTACCCTTGAGCAAATTACCCAACTTCTCAGTGCCTCAGTTTCCTCATCTGTGAAATGGAGCTCCTAGCAGTACCCACCTCACGATGTTATTACAAAGGCTACATGAACTAATTTATGCAAAGCACGTAGATTCCTAGAACAACACCAGGCACGCAGTGCTCTGTGTGAATAGCTGGCATGTATTTCATCACAGCTGCAAATGTGAGTTTGGTTCTTACCTGTTTCCTCACGGCCTCCCTGACATGCTCGACTGTAATGGTTGAGGTCTGAGCTCCATAGACCAACATACTGCCTGGATTTCTGGGTTTCTATCTTGCCTCTACCATTTCTTTTTTTTTTCTTTTTTTTTTTTTTTTTTTGAGATGGAATCTCACTCTGTCACCCACGCTGGAGGGCAGTGGTGCAATCTCGGCTCACTGCAATCTCTGCCTGCCAGGTTCAAGCGATTCTCCTGCCTCAGCCTCCCGAGTAGCTGGGACTACAGGTGTGTACCACCACACCCAGCTAAATCCCAGAGACGGGGTTTCACCATGTTGACCAGGCTGGTTGTGAACCTCTACCATTTCTTAGAAGGAGTCATAATAGTTACTGTTTAGAGAATTAAATGAGAAAATAAATGCAAACAAATCTAGAAAAATGCCTGGCATAGAGTAAATCTCAATAAGTATTCCTAATACTAGTCTCAATTTACAGATGAGGAAACTGAGAGGTTTTGGAATATGAGTGAACTTCTAGAGAGTGAGTGGCAGGGCCAAGCTAGGAACAACTCTAACCCCATCTCCTGACAACATCAATACCTCATTCCTCCCTGTCTCCTGGTTGCCGCCACTCTGACTGATACATGGACAGATTCTTCGAGCACGGTGTGCCTTGCAGCTACTTTCATGCATGTCTCTCCCTGTTAGACAGTGAGCTCCCGGGGGCAGGCCATGCCTGAGCCAGTCTGCATCTCTCTGCTGGAGGACACGGAGAAGGCACTTGAGAAATGCCCTTGACTTAGATTGTACCACAATACAGTAATCCCACATACATGGGATGGAACAAATTGAATGCAACTGAATCCATCCATTCATTCACTCATTCAACCACAGATACTCATACTCATTGAGTGCTGCATGTGCCAGCTCTGGCAGCGGCGAACAAGATGAAGATGGCCTCATGAAGCTGGCTTTGCAGTGAGAGGAATCAAGCATAGACAAACAGAAGCAGAGAGCTAACAACATTTCAGGTGGTGATGCCTGCTAGGAAGGAAATGAAGCGAAGCAAAGGGGTGCCAGGGATGGGCTAGGGATGCTATTTTAGGTAAGTGGTTCAGGGGGGTCATGTGAGCAGAAAGGGACATGAAGGGACCGAGTCAGGAGACGCATGACTGTGGGTGGGAACAGTCTCGGTCTGCAGGAGAACAGCAGGGAAGCTGGGAGGTGGGATAGGGGATGGGGTGGGGACTTGCTTTCTTCTGGGGCCTCTTTCCAACTCTAGGATCTGAGGACTCCTCAGGGAAGCTCTTGCCCAGGCCAGAGCCCACTAGCCAACCACTTCCTGATCCACCCAGGGGAAGCCTTGCATGGGGTGCTCTCTCCATGTTCTCTCAACTTAATCCTCATGATAATCTGGTGAAGAGGGTGTTTCTACCCCCATCCCACAGGTGAGAAAACTGAGGCTGAGAGAGGTTAAGCAACCTACCCAAGGTCACAGAGAGTCAGGGAAAGAACTGGAAATGATCCCAGGTCTGCCTGACTACTACATGCATTTGCCGAGGACCCTTTCCTCAGTGACATCAGCCTTACTGGGACAGGCCGGCAGCAGATCCAAAGCTCCCATTCAAGGGTTGGCATGTCCCAAGGTCACACAAGGGAGCTGGGGTTCCAGTCTGGCTCTTTCCACAGCCCCTCACTGTGAAAAGAGAAAATTGGTAGGTGAGCAAGCAAGCCGAGCTGTGCCCGCCGTGTCCAGTGCTCTTCCAGGGCCAGGGCAAGTTGGCTAATGGGTATCATTTCAGCCCTTTCATTTCTAATAGATGCTGTGCTGTCATGAAGACTGTCATTTTCCACAGCTCACGCAGATAATCAACGTGCTGGCTGCCTGGAGGGTTGGGAATGGCAGTATTTGGGCACGTCTGTGAAGATAACATCATCCTCTCATTCTCTACCATTTCAGTCCTTGCCCAACCAGACACAGCTCTCACATTTGAGGGCATTGCCTGGGAACCCAAGAGGCTCCAGCTTGCTGCACAATGGCCCCAGTTCAGGGAAGAGCTGACTTTCAACATTCCATAGCCATATGACCTTGGACCCAGTCCTTACCCTTCCAGAGCCTCACTTTCCCCATCTGTAAAATGGGGACAATTAGGCCTATCCTGCAGAGTGTCTTAAATGAGATTATTACCATGGACCTATGCATCTACTTAAAAGCTCTGACTTAGAAACCTAAGTTCTAGGCCCAGCCTTGTCATTGATTTGCTGTGTGACCTTGGAGGGACCCATGTTAAACACCTGCCACATAGTCGGTGCTTAGAAGATTGTAGCTAGAACAGTGATGGTGCTGAAGGTAACGATGTTTGCAACATTTTTCCAATAAGAAAACAGGTCAAGGCCAGGCACAGTGGCTTACACCTGTAATCCCAGCACTTAGGGAGGCCAAGGCAGGCAAACCACTTGAGGTCCAGAGTTCGAGATCAGGCTGGCCAACAAGGCGAAACCCCCATCTCTACTAAAAATACAAAAATTAGCCAGGCTTAGTAGTGCACACCTGTAATCCCAGCTATTTGGGAAGCTGAGATAGGAGAATTGTTTGAGCACAGGAGGCAGAGGTTGCGGTTAGTCAAGATCGTGCCACTGCACTCTAGCCTGGGTGACAGAGCAAGACTCCATCTCAAAAAAGAGAAAAAGAAAAGAAAACCGAGCTAGAGAAGGGAATGGGCTCATGAGGGTGAAGGTAGCTGGCTGGTGAAGGTAACTGGCTTGAAGGTACCTGGCTCAAGACTGAGGGTGAGAAGGTGAATAGGAGAGAAAGAGGAAGGGGCCTCTAATCCCAGCACCATGGGACAGATTCAGGACTCTCCTGCCGGCTCACCTACCCTGACAAATGTCCCTAATTCATCGTGTGGCTGCATCCTCCCAGCGAGATAGAAACTGTGGTGCCATTTTGCACATGGAGAAATCAAGGCTCATAGAATCAAAGTGACTTGCCCAGGCTCACACAATTTGTAACTAGAAGAGCTTGACCCCATCGCAAACTCTTCCCGTTGGACTTGAACTCATTTCAATTCCCAATGTCCAGGCAACTCTTTTTCCCTTGCTTAATTCCTTTCTTACTTTGTTGGTTCTTTCTAATTTTTTTTCCAAGTTACCAGCTCATCTATCCCGCTCCCTCCCCAGCTCTGCTCTCCCACAGCAAACGTCTCACAGGCAGGAATCTCATCTGCTGTGTGTGCTGCTGGGTGTCTGGAGCCTGCCACAACAGACACACAATCTGGAATCCAGTGGATGCTTATTGGATTGTTGAGTGAATTGTAATTGGGCCACGGTTTTTGTAACTTGATGCCAGTGGGCAGCATGGTCAATCTGGAGATTTCTGCTATTGTGAAAGGACTCTCTGCAGTGATCGTTATGCAAATACACAGATGAGCAGGGGAAAGTGGTGTATTATAAGTCGATTTTTTTTGTTTATTTTTCAATAAGAAGATTGCTTCACTTCTTGATGTCAAGGGGAGCTCTAAGAAGGATGGATCAATTTGCATAATAATCCCAGAGGTCTTCTCAGAGGAAGGGTGGGAAACCCAACCCCAGCTCCCCGTGATGTGAACTTAGAAAATGCGGATGGACTGGAGTAGCTCTGAGTAGACTGGAGTAGCTGTGAGTGAAGTCCAAAGGCAGGAGAGGGTACAGAGGGCTCCAAAGAGAACTCCTCTGGAGGGCAAAGATGGACTGGCGATCTGAGTTCAGCATCAGGGGCAAGGACAGAGATGTGTGGGACTTCAATCAGCTTTTGTCAAGGATCACAGACATTTAGGAAAAACTCCAACATGAAAGAGAAACACCAGCCTTCTGTTCCAGCCTCATGACTGAGCACAGTGTGTGGCCTGCCCTAGTTTATATGGGGCTCTGACCCAGCGGGGCATAGCCACCTCCACGGATAAGCATCTGCCAGGATGCGGAGGTCTGGCCTTCAACCGTGACACCGTGTGTCCTGCTTTAGACAAAGTTCCCAGGGTTCCTCAGTCAATTCAGGAGGGTGAAAACCCCTGGCTGGATACTTCATTAGCTTCCTGCTAATGAATGCCTAAGGTGACCAATTAATTGGAAAAATAAGACTAGGTGCAGTGGCTCACACCTGTAATCCCAGCACTTTGGGAGGCTGAGGTGGGAGGATCAACTGAGGTCAGGAGTTCGAGACCAGCCTGGCCAACATGGGAAACCCTGTCTCTACTAAAAATACAAAAATTCGCTGGAGGTGGTGGCAGGCACCTGTAATCCCAGCTGCTTGGGAGGCTGAGGCAGGAGAATTGCTTGAACCCAGGAGGCAGAGATTGCAGTGAGCCGAGATCTCGCCACTGCCCTTTAGCCTGGGCAATAGGGCAGGACTCTGTCTCAAAAAAGAAAGAGAAAAATAAGTGCTGTCCTTATTTGTACCCTGAGTTGGTAAAGCACGCATATAAGTTAGAGAATTAGTCCATTTTATCTACACTTTGCCACCAGTGACCAAAACTATCCTAACTGACAAGTAACACACATGGGAGAGATCTTTTCTACAGCAGAATATCTTTAAAATTAATAAGAGCAATTGCATTTACACACAAAGCATGCTACAGATTACAAGGCTCGTCTCCATCTCTGCCCTCCTCTGAGCCTCATGCCAGCCCTGTGAGGGAGCAGGGCAGAATGGTTGTCCCAGGAAACGGAGGCTCAGAGAGGGACATGACCTGCCCGTGGTCACCAAGTCAGCAAGTCCCCGTCCCACCCCTGTTATGGGTCCCTAAGCTGCCTCCCAGGCATGTCAGATGCCAGGCCCCTATTCTGTTTATTCAAAGCAGCATCAGGACCACGATGGCAATAACCATGAGGATTCCAGCCAGGATGCAAAGACCCAGGAAGACGATGTCACTGGTATCCTGGGCCACCATGGTCACTGGGCCCTCCAGTGCCTCCGCCTCGTCCCCGGGGGGTGCTTCCTGAAGGTGCTCTGCAGTGGCAGCATAGGGCCCCAGCCAGTGAGAGCCGGACAGCAGGTGGACGGAAGCTTCTTTGCGCCGCGGCTCACAGCGGACCTCGTATTCATGGATGTCCTCCTGCCCCGCGGCCGAGAAGTCGATGTACAACACGCTGACAATCACTGAAGTGTTGTTTCTTCTCTGTGGGGTCACAGGGTACTCATCACACCCAAAGGAGCTTGGGCTGACCCTGTTTCCCTACATATGTGGGGGTCTCAGTACCAAGGGGGCAGAGCCCCAGGAGCCTGGGTTCTAGTCCTAACTCCGAGCCTCAGTAGTCCCATCTGTGAAAGGGGTACCGTGAGGGTGAGCTGTCTGGAAGGACAATATCAGATTTGATGCCAGTGTTTTTCTGGCTAATGCTCTTGGCACATTTACCATGGTCCAGGCTTTGTATTTTAAGTATCTTATTTCACTCTCACAACAACCTTCTCTTCCTGGTACTATTAAAATCCCTGTGTTACAGATGAGGAAACTAAGGTCCCGAGGTTAAATCCCTTGCCTGAGGTCACACAGCACACAAGTGACAGAGCCCATATTCCCACTCAGATCTGCCCAGCTCTTAACTGTGCTCTTGGCCACCACACCTCACTTAAAAGAATATGGAACCAAAGGAGGCTTTTCAAAGCATCGACTCCAATCTGCCATCCTTGGCAAATTTACAGATGTGACTCCTGAGGCCTGGAAGGGAAATGACTTGCCCAGAGCTGGGAGAGAAACCGAGTCTCCTGCCTCCACATTAGGAGCTTTGTCCCCGGTGCTGTGTGGCTTCCCCCCGCAGCCTTTTCTCCTGATGATATCTGCAGTAGGTATCCCTGCTGTTGAGTCCCTGGCCACCCCCGTGACAGCAGCCTGGTGTTGGGAAGAGCCATCAGGAGCCTGGCACAGCACTGCCCTCTCCACCTTGGATGAAGGAGTCAAGTGGGCCTGAGCCGATAGAGCTGGAGGGCAGCCTTGTGATGGGCAGTCTGGTGTGGTCGGCATCGAGGCAGGGCCGATCTCCCGCCCACGCCCAGTCCACAGCAGCCAGCGCCCTCTTCAGGGGGCCCCAACTGGCCCTGTCTAGCAGGTAGCACTTCTGAGATGAGGCTTCTACAAATCAAACCTGCCTAGCAGAGTCACAGCAGCCGTGAATAGTGGGAAGTCCCCAGCACCAGAGACTGGGTGACCCCTTTGGGGAAGGGTTGAAGGGGTGTCACAAATAAGGAGATTTTTTTGTTTTTGTTTTCGTTTTTGTTTAGAGACAGAGTCTTGCTCTATTGCCCAGGCTGGAGTGCAGTGGCATGATCTCGGCTCACTACAACCTCTGCCTCCCGGGTTCAAGCGATTCTCATACCTCAGCCTCCCAAGTAGCTGGGATTACATGCGTGCACTGCCCTGCCTGGCTAATTTTTGTATTTTTAGTAGAGATGGGGTTTCACCGTGTTGAACAGGCGGGTCACAAATCAGGAGTTTTATGGCCTAGATGACTATGTGTTGCTTCCCAAAGGGTCTGATTCCATGTCCCCAGAGGAGTCCCTGCCTGCTTCCGAGAACTTGTGCCCTGGATTTGTGGGATACAGAATCAGGACCCTGGGTGAAGAAGGACTCCTGAGAGTGGAAGGGGGCCCAGTGAAAGGCTGAAGTTCATCTATAGAATAAGAAAGGGAGGGGAAAATCAGAGAACGGGGATGGGGAAACTTTCGGGGTTTTGATGAGTGACAGGCTTGAGAAATAAAGAAAAGCCACACAACACGGGGTGTTGATGGCTATGTAGTCAAGTCTGTCATGCTTTTAAGGAGATGCAGGTAAATATTGGCATGGCTTTTTATTGCTGTTAGCTGTTTGAGCTACAGATCTTTGAAAGCAACTCTATGCAAAGACTGATCTTTGAGGGTCTAGGATTTATAAGGGTTACACTAAGAATCCATGAATCTAAGGTTCTTTATTTTATGTTTCCAAGATACTGACCCCAAGGTTCCATGGTTCTTTCTGTTTGTTTGTGCTTGTTTGAGACAGAGTTTCGCTGTTATCACCCAGGCTGGCGTTCAATGGCCCGATATTGGCTCACTGCAACCTCCGCCTCCCAGGTTCAAGTGATTCTTCTGCCCCAGACTCCCAAGTAGCTGGGATTACAGACATGTGCCACCACACCCAGCCAAGTTTTGTATTTTTAGTAGAGACAGGGCTTCCCCATGTTGGCCAGGCTGGTCTTGAACTCTTGACCTCAAGCGATCTGCCCATCTCAGCCTCCCAAAGTGCTGGGATTCCAAGTGTGAGCCACTGCGCCCAGCAATTCCATGGTTCTGTGGTTCTGAGTTCTGGTGGTGGTTCTGTGACTATGAGACAGTGAGTGTCTGCGAGCCCTTGGTTCTAGGATTTCATGAGTCCCTGCTTCTAGGATTCTTTGTCTCCATCATTCCATGACTCTATGGAATGTGGTTCTGTCCCAAACCAAACCCCTAGGGGACTTAGGGCATGGAGTAGGGGGTAGGGCAGAATATCCTGCCAGCCAGGACTGGCCCCCTACCCTTCTCCTCTTCTCAGGCTGCCAGGAGGCTGCGAGAGGCAGAGGGTGGCCTGGAGGGACCAGAGGCATACATGCAGCTAATGTTAGGAGGCGGGGGAGGGTTTGCAGGAAAGCACATGATTTCTGCTAAATCAGACTGCAAAGCCCCTGGATTTCAAGTCTGGGAGTCTCTCCAACAGAGGCAACTGTTTCTTTCCTCCATACCCCAGTTCCTGATCTGTCCCTAAGCATACAAACATCCAGGGTGCTTGAGCCACTACCCAGTGACTCTCTGAAGGCCCCGAGTTTGGGGTCACGGCCTCCAAAATACAAGGATAGTAGGGAAAATGGACTTGTAAGCCTCACAGCCTTTTGAGGAAGGGGACTCCTGTGCCTTTTTGTGTTGCGGAGCCCAGGGATGGATCTGGATCAGCAGGGTGGGGACAGGTGAGGGAAGCGGGGCTCCCACAGCTCTGCATATTAAAGGCATGGGGTCTTCAGGGTCCATGGGGAGCTCTGAGGGGAAAGGGGAGGAACAGCAAGGAAGAACTAGAGGCAGCTCAGCTAGCAGCGTTCCTGTAGCAGGAGTGACTGGTAGCATCTTTAGGTTGCTGTCGGGGTTGGGCCTCGGGACCCTCCTCTGTGTCTCCTATTTCAGTTCTTTGCTACCTTTACCCTGAGCAAGTTGGTCGAGGTAAGTAAAGCCAAGAAGGGCTGAGCTCTGCATCCAGGCCCCCAGAGCCAGGAGAAGCTGAACTTTCAGGAACGGCAGGTGCCTTTCAACAGGGTCAGAGCCCCTCCCTTGTGCCTGCCCCTCCCCCAGCCCCTACCTGAGACTCCGTGCCGCAGGTGTCAAAGCGGGCCTGGATCCTGAAGTTGCCGCCCACCTCCTGGGCAGCACAGCTCCGGCTGCCCAGGTAGACCTTGGTCCGCTCCAGCGGGGCCAGTGCCTGTGTGGCGATCAGGATCTGGAAGTCCGTGCGGGAGCAGCTCACGTTCATGGGAACCACTGGAACAGGAGGGAGGAGCTGGAGGCCTTAGGGTCAGGCAGTCTCACCCTCACCTCCTCAACACCCCCTACCCTCTCACAAAGGGCAGTGGATGGGGAAACTGAGGCCCAGAGTGGGAAAAGCTCTTATGGAATCCAACAGGGCACGGTATGGGATATCTTACATGGGTTACTCCGTTCAAGCCCATCAGACTGTGAGCTCCTCAAGGAAGGCGCCTGATTCTCGCAGCGTCCTCTGGGCCCAGCACAGAGCTTGGCAGGCCAGTGAATGCTGAGTGAATGAATGAGTGTTCGTAATAGTCAGAAAAGTTCAGCTGGGCATGGTGACTCACGCCCGCAATCCCAGCACTTTGGGAGGCTGAGGTGGGCTGATCACGAGCTCAAGAGATCAAGACCATTCTGGCCACATGGTCACATGGTTTCACATGGTGAAACCCCATCTCTACTAAAAATACAAAAAAATTAGTTGGGCGTTATGGCGCATGCCTGTAGTTCCAGCTACTGGAGAGGCTGAGGCAGAAGAATCACGTGAACCCAGGAGACAGAGGTTGCAGCGAGCCGAGATTGTGCCATTACACTCCAGCCTGGCAACAGAATGAGACTCCATCTCAAAATGAAATAAAATAAAATCATAATCATAATCATGAAAGTTCATCTGCTAATCGCTTGGCCACATGCCAGGCAATTCATTTAGTTATTGAGCAAATATATATTGATGGCCTACTATGTGCAGGCCCTATTGTCAGCACCAAAAATACAAACATGAGGGAAAAAACACAGCTGAAATTCTTGCCCTGTGGAGCTTCCATTTTAGATGGGGGAGGGGGCCATAAACGTAAAGTACACACACCTGTCAGAGCGCCCCAGAGGAAAATCAAGCAAAGAAGAAAGAACAGAAGAGCAGAGTGAATCGGGGAGGAATGAGGAAGGAGAGCGGCAGTTTTAAAAAGGGTGGCAAGAGAAGCCTCACTTTTCCTCCCTACAATGACCCCAGGCGGTGCATGTGACTAAACTCATCGTACAGGTTTGAAAACTGACGCTCTGAGAGATGAAGTTGTTTGCAGTGGCCAATTGCGTGGACAGGATTTCAAAGTTCGTGGTCTATGCAACCTATTCGGCAGGCCCCTGCAGCCCTCCTGGATAGGACAGCGTGCACATGACTCAAAGTGTCTGCTTTGTGTGAGCATGTGTGTGTGTGTGTGTGTGTGTGTGCGCGCGCGTATGCATGTGTGTGCATGGAGGGGTGAGGGTAGGGGAAAGGAAGGCGGCTGCCTGGTGGGAGGAAAAGGAAAGGGAGCTGGCAGGCAGAGGCCTGGAACTCTCAACCCCTCTCCGGGAAATGCCTCAGACATGTTTCAGCCTCTGGTGTCTGGGCAGCCGGGGATTTATGGGCCAGCCGTCTCCCACGATGATCTTGGTGGTGCTGAACTGTGTCACCCCCGACTGACACTGTGGCTGCCCTCCCAGTGAGGAAACCTCCTGCATCCTGGGCCGCATCTGGAGCCTCGCCCAGCATGAGTGCCCCTGTCTGCCCCTGGGCTCCCACGGGGATCTGGGGAGGGAGGGAGGTGGGGTGGAATGGGGGCAGGCACTCCCGCCCTGAAGCCCCTAGAACAGTAGCTGGGATTAGAGCCGCCCCTAACTTTCCCTCATTCTCTGCAGAAGGGGCTGGGAGGGGGACTGGGAGAGCTCTGGAAATAAGACTACCAGAGGCAAAAGGAACTTTAAAGATCTTTTCAATGTCCTCATCTTACAGGTTGCGAAACTGAGGCCCACGGAGACACAGGGGCCATGACAGCTAGCGGAGGCAGAGCCAATGGAGCTGGACTGTCCAGGGCTGTGCTAACAGAGCCACAGCTCTCCCACCCCAGCTTGCAGGGGGAGCCCACTGAGGCCCGGAGGGGCTGGGCCTGCCCAAGTTCGTGGCTCTGCCTCAAGCTTGCAGCAGCTCACCATCTCCTCCATCGCTGGCCCCAGCTCCTCTTGCATAGGGGGCAAGGAAGGATCTTTTGAATGCTGAACAGACCTGAGACACCTTCCTGAAGGAAAGATATCCTTGGATCCAGGCATTGTGACCTGTGTTGCCTCATTTGGCCTTCGCGACCACCTGTCTAGGGCCTTCATCAACCTCTTTTACAGATGAACCCCTTGGATGATCAGTAAATGGCAGCATTTGGACGTGGCCCTGGTCTCTGAGCTTAGCCCTGGGCCGCCCTCCCTTGTGCCCCTCTCAAACAAGCAAGAAGAAGGCAAGAGAGTTCTAGTCCTGGCTGTGTCACTGACTGCCCATGTGGTCACAATGAATCTTTCCCCCCTCAGCACCTCTGTTGCTATCCCTGCACGGTGAGCAGCTTTACTCAGCCAGAAGAGGGCACGGTAGGTGCAGAGTGCAGGCATTTCTAGGCCTATAGACAGGGAATGGTGGGAGGAGGGGAGCAACGGTGGGCCATCTTGACTGACAAATCTAAACAATAATTTGGAGCCTGAGAAAGCCCAACACCAGCTTCCCAGCCTCCTCTGCAGCAAGGCATGGTCCCTCTGACTGAGTTCAAACTGATGAGACATTTTTTTGAGGTCTTGTGAGAGCTTCTAGAGATGCTTTTGCTTTCTTGATAAAGTGCCATTTGCAGCTGGCACCTCCCCTGTCCTCTCCAGCCTTGAACATGAATGTGACGCCTGGAGCTATGGCAGCCATCTTGCAGCTGTGAGGCTCAGAGAGGCCCAGAGATAACACTTGGAACAGTGTTGGGCCCTGGACCAATGCAGCAGCTGCCCAGCTCCAATCTTCTTGTTGAGTGAGGGAAAACAAGAGCCATTTGTTCAATCAGTAGTTCTGAATGATACAAGCAGGGCTGGTAGGCACACCCATGGTTATGCCAATTTTTTTTTTGCCACAAACAATATTACCATATTTTGTCTATTTCTCCTGAATACAGGGGACCAATTACAGCACAAGAGGGGCCAGGGGCTCATGGGGGAAGGAACTAGATGGGGAGGGGTGAGGACGCATGAAGTTAGGAGCTGGGGAAGGAGGCTCTGGAATAGTGGAAACACGCAGGAGCTACACTGTACAGTCTCAGGGCTCCTGAGACTTGGCAAGGGTTTAGCTGCCAGAGAAGGCGCTGGAGAAGACCATTCACGGGAGGCAGGACAAGCTGGTGTCCCGGTGGTGGGATGCTGGTGGGAGGGAGGAAGGAGCTGCAAAGACGGAGGCTGCAGAGCCCCCCCTCACCCCTCAGTGCACCCACCCCGCAACCCAGCTGACCTCCAATGTAGGCCATGGAGAAGCCCCTGCGGGTGGTGCTGCGGTCCGTGTGCAGCAGAATCAGAAGCTGGTTGTGGCTTGAGGTGATGGGTGGTGGCAGGCGGTGTCCACACCAATTCCCCAGCAGGGGTGCCTCCTCACTGGCCCCATCGAAGGCTGCCAGATGGTCGAAGTCACAGGTCTTGGTCAGGCTGTTGGGCTCCTCCAGGTCCAGGTCCAGGAAGAATACCTTGACTCGGTGGCCCGGGGGCAGGCGGATGGTCCAGTGGCAGTGGATGTTGTTGGGGTAGGAGCTAGGGTACTGTGGGCTGGAGAAGTTGCCCCGCATGGCCATGTACACCTCCTGGCATTCTCCTGGGTGGGGGAGGAGCAGCAGTGAGGAGAGAGGAGAAGTCACCCTCTGCAGTTACAGCTTAGGCAGCAGGCACCACAGCAGTCCTACTGGGCACCATGGATAGCAAACCAGGCAATTGATCCCAACTGGATGAAAGCTGGGACGCTAGATCCCAAAGCTTGTTTTAAACTGCAAGTAGCTGAGAGCTGAGACTTGCATTCCAATTAATAGTCCCCTTCATGAGTGTAGGTCCTGTTAGGAATTCAGTAACACACAATACCTGTCCTCAGAGTTAACTCTGCACTGCCTGGCACGACGGATGATGAGGTTCATGCTGGTCTCCCTTTTCTCACTAGCCCATTTGGTATGTACTATGGGCAGAGCAAACACTCTCCACCCTCCAGGCCTTTGCACATGCTATTCCTCCTGCTTGGAACACCCTTCCCTTCTGCTTCTGTCCCATCCTTCAGAGTACTGCTCAATTCTCTCCTCCAGGAAGTCATCCATGATTCTTACTGTTGGATAGCACAGATCATAATGTCTTGCTTGTCTGTTCCCTTATGATCTCCCCAACTGGACTGTAAAGTTCCCATGACTTCATCCATTCCTTTGTACAAATATTGAGTACCTACAATGTGCCAGGTACAAAGATAAGCCCATAAGGGACTCACAGTCAGACAGGGAAGACTGACAGGCAAACCACATATGGAAGTGATGCGTGTTAGATCACAGTGTAAAAAACTTCTATAAGGAGTTGAAAAGGGGATTAATTCTGGTAAAACAGGAAGTCTTTGCAGAGGAGGTGACATGCTTATTTATGTCTTGGCATTGGCCAAGAGTATGCTAGAGCATTCCAGGCAGAGAGAGTGCAGAAAGCCCAAGCCTGCTGGGGGCAGAAAGGTGGGACCCCTGCAAGTGTAATGGGGAGACAGGAGCCCAGTAGGCACGGGAGGATTTGGGGTGGAGCTCCAGCCCCTCCTACCTGAGAAGTAGTAGGCCTTGAAGCCACGGCCTCCGATGTTGAAGTCGGACTTGAAGACCACCTGCAGCTCGTGGCCCAGAGACACGAGCGTGGGGGGCCTGGTGCTGCCACAGTAGTGGTGCCCACGGGTGGGGCCAGGCCCCCCAAGCACAGCCACGTAGTCATAGGTGCACTCCTCGTTGCCCTCCACCTGGAAGTCCACGAACACCAGCTTGACGCTGGCAGGGCCAGCAGCCCGGATCACCCAGTGGCACTCCATGCTGTTGGGGTAGTTGTTGGGGTACTCAGGGCTGGTGAGGACCCCCGACAGGCCGGTCAGGACGCCGCCACACACATCTGCAAGGGAGACCCCTTGAGCTGACCTTTCTCTCTCCTTGTGAGTCCCCCGTTTCCTCCCTTGAGAACCAGACACCCCAACATGCTGCCCCCAGTGCTACCTCCTGGGGGCCTCATTATCATCCACTGAGCACCTGCCGCCCAAGTAGCAGGTGTGACATGCGCTCCGGCCTAGCATTCAGCCCCTCTGCCGCCCGTTCAAATCTTCATAGTAGCCCCACAAGGACTGTGCTGCAGTTTCTGATTTTACAGTTAAGAAAAGGGAGGCACAGAGAAGTTAAGCAGCTTACCTGTCTGAGTTTGAGTTTGCCCAGGCAGACCCTGAGATAAGGATTTGAGGGCAAAGAGTTTACTTGGGAGATCCAGAGGACCCCAGGTGGGGAGGAGGGGAGTGGACAGAGAAGGGGAGGTGTGTTCAAGCCACCTGTCGACCTGTCAGGGAACTCTGGGGACGGCGTAAAGCACACACTTCAGAGTGAGTTCTGCCATTCTAGAAGCGAGGGAGACGCGTCATTTATATGCCAACTCCCCAGAGTGCAGGCAGAGGGTTGCTGCAGGCTGGGAGTGACCTACTGAGACTTCAGGAAAAAGCCCTCCAACAAAGAACCGTGGAGGTTGGCAGGAGCACATTGCAGTGGCAAAGCCCAAGGGACATGCCAGGGCCCTGAGAGCAGGTCACCCGACTGGTAACTGGGAAAGTGGGATTTGAACCCAGGGAGATTAACCATCAACTCTGTGCACTTGACCCTCATGACCTTCACTGGCCACTCCTATGAGGCCATTGGGGCACAAAGGTTGAGGAGCCTGAGCTCAGGAATGTGATGAAACCTCCCTAACAGATGAGGAAACCAAGACTTAGAGAGAGGATCTGATGAGGTAGAGCTTGGTTTGACATCTGAAGACAAGTGGTCTCCCATCTCTGCCTCTTTTTTTTTTTTTTTTTTTTTTTTTGAGACGGAGTTTCACTCTTGTTACCCAGGCTGGAGTGCAATGGCGCGATCTCGGCTCACTGCAACCTCCACCTCCTGGGTTCAGGCAATTCTCCTGCCTCAGCCTCCTGAGTAGCTGGGATTACAGGCACGCACCACCATGCCCAGCTAATTTTTTGTGTTTTTAGTAGAGACGGGGTTTCACCATGTTGACCAGGATGGTCTCGATCTCTTGACCTCATGATCCACCTGCCTCGGCCTCCCAAAGTGCTGGGATTACAGGCGTGAGCCACCATGCCTGGCCCCATCTCTGCCTCTTATTAGCTGTGTGACTCCAGGGAAGTAACCCAGCCTCTCTGAGCCTCACTGGAACATTAGAAATCATAAGACCCAGCCGGGAGTGGTGGCTCAGACCTGTAATCCCAGCATTTTGGGAGGCCGAGGCCCCATCTCTGCCTCTTATTAGCTGTGTGACTCCAGGGAAGTAACCCAGCCTCTCTGAGCCTCATTGAAACATTAGAAATCATAAGACCCAGCCGGGAGTGGTGGCTCAGACCTGTAATCCCAGCATTTTGGGAGGCCGAGGCAGGCAGATCACAAGGTCAAGAGATTGAGACCATCCTGGCCAACATGGTGAAACCCTGTCTCTACTAAAAATAAAAAATAAAAGCTGGGTATGGTGGCACGTGCCTGTGGTCCCAGCTACTTGGGAAGCTGAGGCAAGAAAATCACTTGAACCTGGGAGGCAGAGGCTGCAGTGAGCCAAGATTGCACCGTTGCACTCCAGCCTGGGCAACAAGAGTGAAACTCCATCTTAAAAGGAAGGGAGGAAGGGAGGGAGGGAGGGAGAAAGGGAGGAAGACAGAAAGGGAGGGAGGGAAGGAAGGTATTGTAAGACCGAACCAGCTTGATCCACTGGGCTCAGACGTGAGCAGAGTCTGAAAATATGCTGCTGGAAACTGTCAGGGAGCTAGCTTGTCCAGTACAGCAAGGGTGGATGAATGCTGTGACTTGCTGGAGGTCACCCAGAGAGGGCACGCGTGGGATGTATTTCCTGAGACTCCAGCATCTCTCCCTATGGCAGGGCTGTGTGACCAGGGCTCTGTATGGGGTGTCTAAGGACTTGGCATCTTTTCCCAGTGCCAGCCCAGCCACGTGACTTTAGGAAGGCCCTCTCAGAGGCTCAGATTTTGTGAAATGAGACAGCAGGTTTAGATAGCCTATGAAATCCCTTCCAACACTAACGACCTCCATGAAGACTTCCCAGAGTACCCTGGGGCTCCCAGCAGCCCCCTGGAGCACCTGCTGGCACCTGGGGCAAATTTCATTCTTATGCTGTATTTCAAGCTCTCTTTTAATGTAATGAAAAGACAGCACCCTCAGTCTTTAATATCTTTAATAAGATATTAAAATTTAAATATTCTACCTTTAAAAGTTTAACTCATTGGAGGTAATCAATATTTACTTGTGTTTTTAATGATTGGCTTATAAGAAGTAAATGTTAAAATATGAATTTACAGGCTGGGCACAGTGGCTGACACCCTGTAATCCCAGCATTTTGGGAGGCCTAACTGGGTGGATCACCTGAGGTCAGGAGTTTGAGAACAGCCTGGTCAACATGGCGAAATCCGATCTCTATAAAAAATACAAAAAATTAGCCAAACTGGGTGGCACACGCCTGTAATCCCAGCTACTCAGGAGGCTGAGGCAAAAGAATAGCTTGAACTGGGGAAGTGGGTGGAGGTTGCAGTGAGCTGAGATTATGCCACTGCACTCCACCCTGGGCGACAGAGCAAGACTCCATCTCAAAAAAAAAGAACTTACAGAATAAATGCATACCACTAAAACATTGCTTCTCTCTCTCTCTCTCTCTTTTTTTACATTGGGGATTAACATGGAGGGTCCACTTGACATAAAGATATTCCTGTTTTTTGAAATGTTAGGAGATGTGACTGATGGTATTATGACTTTGATATTAACATTCTAAAAATCTAAGGGTCTAAAATTCCAGGCTGGTGGGGTGGCTCATGCCTGTAATACTAGCACTTTGGCAGGCCAAGATTGGCAGATCACAAGGTCAGGAGTTCAAGACCAGCCTGGCCAACAAAGTGAAACCCTATCTCTACTTTAAAAAACATACAAAAATTAGCTGGATGTGGTGGCACATGCCTGTAATCTCAGCTGCTCAGAAGGCTGAGGCAGGAGAATTGCTTGAACCTGGGAGGTGGAGATTGCGGTAAGCCAAGATCACACCACTACACTCCTGGGTGACAGAGCAGGACTCCATTTCAAAAAAAAAAAAATTCTAAAACTATGATTAAATCAGCCTATGGTTCTTGCATTGTAGCATTCTACAATTCTATCCTTCTAAATGCAGCAGTGACTGAGGTCCCACTTGAATCCCCCAGGATTGCTGTTGGTCGACCCTGGGGACCAGTAGCTTCTCTGGGTGTCTATTGTTTGTGTTAACATCAATGAGGCCTTTGGTTCTGGCACTGGGAGGAAGCAGGAGCTTTGAGCCTTTGCAAAGAACCTGGGGACAAAGATGAATGAGTCAAAGAGAAAGGCAAGAAGAGCCAGGCCTCCTCTCCCCTCCCTAGACTGAGAGGCAGGTGTCAATCCTGGTTGAAGAAGGGAGGGGTTAGGGATACATGATATGAGTCACCAGCTCCACCCAGACCCTCGTGCGGGAACTCAGACGGGGATTCCCAAGCCATGAAGTCGTGGGATGCTGCCGCAGGCTGCAACAGCAGTGGTGTCCCCTCTTGTGGCCTGATGCCATGACACAGGACAAGAAGGGCAAGGGTAGTAGAGTGTGACAGTGCGACCCTCTGAGGGCTCCGGGAGAAATGGAGGGAGGCTTCACACCATGAAGGTGGGAACTGCAGCTACCAAGATTATCAGCATGGTCATGAACGGTGAGGAGGCTGGCTTTTGCCCTATAAACTATGCATGAGAGCTGGGTCGTGCAGGTTACAGAGCGGCCTACATGCCAAGATGCCAAGACCCTGCAGGTCTTACCTGAGCCCCACTGCTATCCTCCCACTTCCATCCCAGAGCCAGCCCTTCCACTGCCAAATTCCCGCCTTGAACTCCTGGGCTCAAGTAATCCTCCCGCTTTGGCTTGCCAAAGCACCAGGATTACAGATGTGAGCCACTGCATCAGGTTCCTAATGCCCCCCTTGACCTTTCTGGTAGCCCGCGGAAAAGCCATGGCTGGCCACGTGCTTGTCTGAGTGGAAGATGACAGACATGACATGCCAGGAGGAGGTGAAGGGCGGCGGGGGCACCTGGCCGCAGAACCTCCCCAGCAGGTTGCCCTTGTCTGCTGAGGCCCCGTTGTAGATCTCCAGGAAGTCGAAGCTGCAGGTGTCATGGTACTCCAGGTCAAAGGCATGGAAGGTGAGCAGCACGGAGGATCCCTCGGCTACCACGATCAGCCAGCTGCACTCTGTGTTGTAGGGGTACAGTCTAGGGAAGTTGGGGCTGGAGAAGTTTCCGGAAGGTGCTGAGAGCACACCCCCACATTTGACACCTGGGGCAAGAGAGAAGAATGCCTCAGACTCCATGCTGGGGTCTTGGGTACATGTGGTAAGGGCAGTGGACCCAGCTACAAATCTACCTCTTTGGGATGGGATGAAGGAACACAAAACCATGTGTTTTGTTTTTTGTTTTGTTTTGTTTTTGAGATGGAGTCTTACTCTGTCACCGGGGCTGGAGTGCAGTGGCATGATCTTGGTTCACTGCAACCTCCACCTCCCAGGTTCAAGCGATTCTCCTGCCTCAGCCTCCTGAGTAGCTGGGACTAAAGGCGTGTGCCACCACACCTGGCTAACTTTTGTATTTTTTTAGTAGAAACGGGATTTCACCATATTGGACAGGCTGGTCTTGAACTCCTGACCTCATAATCCACCCGCCTCAGCCTCGCAAAGTGCTGGGATTACAGGCGTGAGCCAGCGTGCCCAGCCACCATGTGTTTATTTGCTCATGCATTTACTTATTCTTCAGAATGCTATTCTTCAGATGCTGATCAAGCATGCTGGTATTCATTCCACAAATACTATTTGAGTGCTAGGCATTGTTCTAGGTGCTGGGGTTACAGCAGAAACAAAACAGACAAAAACCCCTACCCTCATGGAATCCGCATTCTGGCAGAGAAGACAGACCATAAACCTACCAAGTAAAATACAGAGCTTCTGACACTGTGAGAAGCTATGGAGACAAAAGCAAGCCAGGAAAGGAGACAGGAAATGGCAGGCAGGACCCTAGAATTTTAGTTAAAACATTACGCAGTAGGGAATTGTAAAATTATTAAAACATTAATTTGAAATGAATAATACTAACCCCCCCAGGGAAAATGTGCAGAGTCTGCTACAATGTTAAAAGTACATTTTTATATGTGCAGATTTGCTTGTGTTTAACAAAAGAAAACAATGGAAGGAAACCAATAAGAATAATCCTCTGTCACGGGAAGTAGTAGAAGGAGGGGAGGAAGCAGGTACGCTGGCTGGATCTCCTTACATGGGCCCTGTTGCAGAATTTTCACTTTGTAAGCACATAAAATATTTTATATAATTTTGAGATTTAAAAACATGTTTAACCCCTAAATATCCCAAACTGAAACAAATAAACGGAACCTTACCAACTTGGAGGCACAGTCACCTGGGGAAGAATGATTTGAAATGACTTCGAAAGACAGTATTTCGACCACACAGTCCTAGTGGGATATATCTCAAGGTCAGAATGAACTGCAGCAATATCTCAAGCTATATTCAGTAAACTTACTATTAGTGATACTATTAAATACCATTTGACAAGTACTGTGTATTAGAATAGAGCAAATAAGTAGGCTAATGTCAATAGAAACAAATATTTTCAGTGTAAGAGTGATAGGTATACAGGCAGTGCTCGACTTACGACCACGGTCGGGACGCGGAGCGGTCGTAACACGATTTGGTCGTAAGTTGAGTAGGCTGCATGTACAGTTGAAATGGTGCACGCGGAGATGGTAGTGCTGCCAGAAGCTGGTCCGCACTGTCGTACGCCCAGCTGGGCAATGTTTGCGCTGCCAGAAGCGGAGCAGTTGTGGCTAGCGATTGTGATTGTAAAGTCGAATGGTCGTAAGTTGCACAAGTCGTAAGTCAATCAATACCTGTAATTTTTTTTTTTTTTTTGGACAGAGTCTCGCTCTGTCGCCCAGGCTGGAGTGCAGTGGTGTGATCTCAGCTCATTGCAACCCCCGCCTCCCAAGTTCAAGTGATTCTCCTGCCTCAGCCTCCCGAGTAGCTGGGATTAGTTCCTGCCACTACACGTGGGTAATTTTCCTATTTTTAGTAGAGATAGGTTTTGTCATGTTGGCCAAGCTGGTCTCCAACTCCTGACCTCAGGTGATCCAGCATAATCAAATAATGGATCCAGACAACATTATCAAAGCCTATTCTGATCACTGAGTAAAAAGCTGGTAAGAGTTAAAACTTAGATAATTGGGTATACAGGAATTCCCTGCAGAATTATTTCAACTTAGCTAAGTGTTTGATTTTTTTTTTTTACTGGTCAAATAAACCAGATAAATAAAAAATTTTATAATTAAAAATATACACCAGGTGTGGTAGCTCACAATTGTAATCCCCAGCACTTTGGGAGGCAGAGGCAGGAAGACCACTTGAACCCAGTATTGCAAGACTCTATCTCTGAAAAAAAAAAAAATTAGTTTCAACTGACTATTCGACAATGGAAAAAAAAAAAAAAACTAAACTAAATTTCAAGTAGACCAGGCTAACTAACCCTGAACCCACTGGCGTATCTAAGTGTCAAAGTGGAACACTGAACAATAAATATCTTCTTGAAAAAAAAATCAAGAAATCGGAATCTCAGGAAGTCTCTGGATCTGTCTATAGTTAGAGTGAATATGGAAGCTAGAGGAACATATCATGAAGATGCATTTGGCAAGTCTGGAATGTGGCAAATTCTATACGATAAATGACCCTGGGGCTTCAACAATAAATGATAAAGTGAGAGGAACGAGCCACAACTGTTGTATTAAAAGAGTCAAGGCCAGTGTCATGGCTCACACCTGTAATCCCAGCAATTTGGGAGGCTGAGGCAGAAGGATCACTTGAGGCCAGGAGTTTGAGACCAGCCTGAGCAACATAGTGACACCCTGTCTCTAAAAATAATAACTTAAAAAAAATTTTAAAGAGTCAACTATTGACCAAATTCAATGTGTGGAACTTGTTTGGATTCTGATTTGAACAAATGAACTGTAAAAAGATTTTTTTTTTTTTTTGGTCCACTGTTGGGGAAAACTGAACATGAACGGAGTAGCACATAAAATTAAGGAATTGAGCGGGGAGTAGTCGAGTGCTCCTGTGGTCCCAGCTGCTCGAGGCTGAGGCAGGAGGATCACTTGAACCCAGGAGTCTGAGGTTGCAGTGAACTATTACCACAGCACTGCACTCCACCTGGGTGACAGAGAGAGATGTTGTCTCTAAGAAAATTGTTTTTAATTAAGCACTTATTATACCATGACAAAGATATTGAGGTTATATACAGTTTTATGATGTGTTTCTCTGTTAGAGACATACTCTGACATATTTATGAGTGAAATAGTATAGCATCTGAGATAGGCTGTAAATTTCTTCTCACCTCCCAGAATGGGGCTGGGGTGGGATAGAAGAAACAAGAAAGCCAAAACGTTGATAGTTATTGAAGATGATTGATGGAGACATAGGGATTCATTGTATGATTTTCGCTGCTTTGGGTGTGTTTGAAATTTTTCATAACTAAAAGTTAACAGCCAGCACATCCCTGGCCACCTTCTCAGCAAGGCCTTCCTTAACCACCCTATAACACCTAAAACTCTCTCCCCAGCCCATGCTCCTTCTCTCCCTTTGTGCTATATGCTTCTCCGTAGAATTCGTCACGATCTAACATACTACTTATTTTACATACTGATTTGGTTCAGTATCCTGCCACAAAAACGTAAGCTCTATGAGAGCAAGGATTTCTGTCTCTTCCCCCTGCTGTATTGCAAACACTTGGAGCAGTACCTGTCACAAAGCTGGTGCTCAATGTATATTTGCTGAATGAATGAGTGAGTGAGTGAATGATCTTATATAATCCTCACAACAGCCTCATCAACCAGGCAGGGCAGCTGTTACTGACTCATTTTACGGATGAGAAAACTGAGCCTGGGGAAAGGGAAGTTACTTGCTGTAGTGAACATCTATTGTTTTGGGTCTGCCCAATACCCCTGCCTCCACCACTTGCAACGACAGCTCCCTCTTCTAGACACTGCTCCCCTCCTTCCCTCCACGTGGTAGCCTTCCCTTCTCTTCTGGCTCCTTCCCTGACTCTAGCTGGGCAGTCCTGGGGCTCCCACCACCACCACCACAGTGACTGGCCCATGGGGTGGGCATGTGCTCCAGGCTAGGCTAGTGTTCTTCTCAGAATGTCCAGATAGGGGTTCTTTTCTTTCTGGTCCCTTGACTGGGAGTGGGAGCCCTGGGGGTGGAACAAGGTCCATACATTGCATTTCGTCGATATTTGCCTCTTAAATTTTTAAAAAATTCTTATTGGCCGGGCACGGTGGCTTACACGTGGAATCCTAGCACTTTGGGAGGTCGAGGTGTCATGGCACATGCCTGTAATCCCAGCTACACAGGAGGCTTAGACAGGAGAATCGCTTGAACCCGGGAGTCAGAGGCTGCAGTGAACCGAGACTGCACCACTGCACTCCAGCCTGGGCAAGACAAGACAGAGCGTGACTCCATCTCAAAAAAAAAAAAAAAAATGTATTATGTGTGTTCTCAGGGCTTAAGAAAAAATTCCCTCTGTGGACTGGAAGAGCCATATGAGATGTAGAAGCGGCCCTGGAGCCCAGAGGCCCTGGCTACAGAGCCAATGTATTCTTCTTTTTGCTTAAACTCATCCAGGTTGAGTTTCTGTCACTTGCAACCAAAAGCATCCTGAAGAATGCACTTGACTACATCTCTGTAAGAGAAGACACATTCGCTAGCCATGTGACCGGCACCAGGCCTGCGCTGATCAGAATGGGCCCCTCCGTGGGAAGCTCACCGTGGGGTGGGGGGCAGGAGGAGCCAGGCAAATGAGACAAAACACACGCAGTGTGATTGCACCGTGGCCATGTGGAGACTCTGGGGCCCGGGGAGAGGTAAACCAGTCTTGCTGGGGTCAGCAGTGTCAAGGAGGGGCAAGATTCCCAGAGGGGGTGATATTTGAGCTTGTCTAGGAAGAATGAGAAGGTTTCATCAGTGGGGAAGATTTGCAGGGAGGAAATGGCACGGACAAAGGCTCAGATGCATGTGCACTTAGCCTCCGTGAGCCTCAGTCATGCATCTGTGAGATGGGGATAGTGGTGCCTCCCTTGCTGGGTGGTTGTGAGCGCTGATGAGCTAAAGGCTGTGTGGAGCCGCACAGATGCACATTATCGGCTCTCTGATTGGCTCCTGGGGTGGGACAGGGCAGGAATGGCATCTAATCCATGCCTTTATGGCAAAAGGACCAAGAGATAGTCTGTCCAATGCCTGTTCTTGTCCTTCCCCCAGCCCTACCCACAGGGCAGGAAAAGGCACCAGAACATCGGAGCAGAATTCCTGTAGCCAGGTGGCTCCAGTCATCAGCATAAGCAGAGGCCCTGTCCACTGGGACCCAGGGTTTCCCCAAGGCCCCGTAAGCCCTGGTGGCTAGAAAATAGAAACAGCTAGCTCCTCCCACACCCAGGCATGGGTTGAGACGCTTGAGTGCCCATCCCATCTCTGCCAGTCACTGGGTGACTGGCCGGGTACGATTCCTCCCTGAGCCCCACCTGAGCCTTGCAGAAGGGTGAAAGAATATCACCCCGGCTTCACAGACAGGTAAACAATGCTTGGAAGGCCAGAGCAGCACAAGGCCACTGGGGACCACAGTGCAGGAAGAGGGTTCCAGGAGCCCCCTTGAGGGCGCATGTGAGGTTGGTGGAGGATGTGGAAGGCTGATGGAGGGAGTGGTGTTTGATCTGAGCTTGAAGAGTGAGCCAGATGTTCTCAGGTGGAAAAAGGGAAAAGAGACTTTCCAGACAGAGGGGACAGCAGGACTTAAGGTCCCTGAGGCTGAAGCAGAAGGGGTCATGATTCCCCTGCCAGAGCATGGGATGCTCAAGGGACGCAGGAAACTGAGGCTCAATAAGATATGGAAGTTGGAGCCCACAGAGGGCACTGAAGGCCATGAGAAGGAACTTTGATTTCACTTGCTTGGCAGTGGGATGGACAGCAGGGGCTCGGGAGGAGAATAAAGATTCGTCAGCAACAGGCAGGGTGTAGTAGCTCATGCCTATAATCCAGCACCTGCCGAGGCAAGTGGATCATCTGAGGTTAGGAGTTCGAAACCAGCTTGGTCAACATGGTGAAACCCCGTCTCTACTAAAAATGTAAAAATTAGCCAGGTGTGGTGGTACATGCCTGTTATCCCAGCTACTTGGGAGGCTGAGATAGGAAGATCACTTGAACACAGGAGTGGAGGTTGCAGTGAGCCGAGATCACGCCACTGCACTCTAGCCTGGGTGACAGAGCAAGACTCCATCTCAAAAAATAAAATAAAATAAAATAAAATAAAATAAAATAAAATAAAATAAAATAAAAAACAAAGACTTTTCAGCAATAAACCTTTAACAGTTCTCAGAGCCATTCCCTTCAACCTTAGTGACCATGCAGCCTTGGACAGGTTACTTAATATCTCTAGCCCTCAGTTTCTTGATCTGGAAAATGGGAGGCTAACGTCTACCTCGAAGTTTGTTATGCAGATTAAATGCAACCGACATGTGAAACATCCAGCACATGGCAGGCACTCAGTAAATTGTCTTCCCCAACCTCAGAAACAAAAACATTCTCAACTTGGCTACGGCCCCTAAAAGGACCTCCTGCCTTCTGGCCTCCTATGTAGAAACTTCTTGAGCTCCTGGCTGCTGCTTGTCCACCTCCTTCCCCTCCCAGTTCGTATCTGTCCCAAGAGCGCCTACCTTCCATGGCTTGGGTCCAGGGCCCTGGGCCCAGCAGTGCCACTGCCAGCAGGAGGCCAGCCCCCCACTCTGCCAGCATCTCCTTACCAGAGGCCCCCACAGGTCTGCAGAACTCAGGTAGGTGAGGATCTGAGGGTCTGGAGTGGGGGAAAGAGAGGTGAGGCTGAAAGGGCCTCCAAGTTAATGGTGGCATGAATAATTCACTGGCCCCTAGAATTAGTAAGCCGATCCCCAGGTACTTCCTTCACTCACTGTAAAGTGACGGATCTGGTGTCCCCAGGTTTACACGTTCTGAGATCTGCACTGACCACACTGCATCAGGAAGGGAAGCAGCCTGGGCTGGGAAGGAAACTGGGTGGTGGTGAACGGGCATAACTTTTGGAGCCTGGTAGATCTGGGATCGATCCCAGTTCAGCCTGTCACTTGCCAGGTCAGCTTGGACAAGTCATTTAACTCTCCTGGTCTGGGTCTTCTCATCCATCCAGTGGGGCTGTTCAGCTCCTCCCCAGGGGCTGTTGCGAAAATGAAAGGAGATGGCACTTGCTAAAGCACAGAGTAGGTGCTTGCTAAGATTATTCCCATCCCCACCCCTGAGGGAGCGGAAAGGAGCCTGTATTTAGTGGGACAAGCAGGACAGCTTCCTTAGACATGTGGACTTAGCTCAGAGGGGGAGGGAGGAAGTTGCTGTGGACAGTTGATGAGGGAAAAGTCTTTTTCATACAAGAGTGCAACAAGAATAACAGAATTAGAAAATCGTATTGTGCAACTCTTAACACAACAATAGGTCGGGGCCCCAGTGTAACTTCTGGCTGAGAATATGAAATCCTCCCTCCTTTATCGCTCCCAAGCCTTGCTTGAACATCATTGGCTGCCAGGCCCTGCATAAGGAGCTGGCACGGCAGAAATGCCCGGGGGACTTTGTGTCCAACAGGAAGTAGGCTCTTTCTTCTCCTCTGGAGTCTTTTGACTCGGTTCAGTTCAGCCCAACACACTTATCTCAGCTCCTTCTCTGTGCAGAGCGTGTGCCAGGCATGGGGACAGCAGGGGTACATGGCGCATTCCTGCTCTCCCGGCGGGGATCCTAGGCTCTTCCTGGCAGGTGAAGGTCTGAATCCTCGACCCACCCCTGCCTGGCTATGGTAGCCTGGGAAAGTAACCCAACTGGCTATCCGAGGCCAGGTTCCTGGATTACGAAATTGGAACGAGAATTAGCAGCCTGCAGTTTGCTGAGAGGATTAAATGTGATAGTGCATGAGAAACCTTCACCAGTGCCTGGCTCAGTGCATAGACACACTCAAGATTTCTATTTATCCTAGAGGAACCCAGAGAGCATCATCTGCCAGATAGCATGTGCCTCTGGCCCAACCTTCTGTCAGGAAGTCCCCAGGGAGCCCTTTGCTGCAGGCTTAGGAGGCCGAGTGGAAGGTGTTCAATGGAGCATCAGGACCCGTCAGGCCTGAGGGATTGGCTTACCTGTGGAGCTTGATTGTCAGGAAAGAAGTATTCAGCTGTTCCAGGCAGTCTGAGAGAATAGGAATTTCTTTCTTTTCTTTTTCTTTCTCTCCCTTTCTTTTTCTTTCCTTCCTTCCTTCCTTCCTTCTTTCTTTCTTTCTTTTCTTTTCTTTTCTCTTTCTACTTTTTCAAGATGGAGTCTTACTTTGTCACCCAGGCTGGAGTGCAATGGTGCTATATCTGCTCGCTGCCACCTCCACCTGCTGAGTTCAAGCAGTTCTCCTGCCACAGCCTCCCAAGTAGCTGGGATTACAGGTGCCCACCACCAAGCCCAGCTAATTTTTGTATTTTTAGTAGAGACAGGGTTTCACCATGTTGGCCAGGCTGGTCTTGAACTCCTGACCTTGTGATCTGCTCGCCTCAGCCGCCCAAAGTGCCGGAATTACAGGTGAGAGCCACCTCGCCCGGCCAAATGGAGTTTTTAAACACCTATTGTCCTATTGTGTCTGTGAGACAGGAAGGCAGGGAGAGGCGCCAACCTAGTACCTGCTGAGTGCAGGGCCCGGTGCTGGGTGATTCACATGTGGGTGCAGCCTCCCAGCTTTCATAGCCTTCGGTACCCTCCTGAAGGACAGAGCAGGAAACTGAAGCTCGAAGGGCTGCAGCCACTGTTTTGGCTTGAGTTCTCTCACACGAAGACCCAGGGACAGTAGTGCGTTTGGGAGGTGATCCCAGGAAACACAGGTAAGGAAAAGGGACGAGGAGGGGAAAGAAGCCAGTTCAGGGACAGTCAGTGAGCAGGTTAACACTGTGGGCAACCAGGGCTAAGTCGAAGTGGGAACCTCCAGGACACAGTATAGACTGTGCCTCTCGCTGTTCCACCAGAGGGGGAAGAAGTAGAATATTGATCACCAACTCCCAGTGCCCTTGGTTGGAAGTTGCTCTAAGGGTCTTATCTCCCAGGTATTTCCAGCCTGCTGGGCATGGTCCCAAAGCCCTGAGGCAGAGAGTACAAGGGACCACAGGCAGGCTGTCTGCATGATGCGAATGGTGGATGCCACAGGATGCGGCAGGGCCATGAAGCACCTACTGAGCCATCCATAATGAGAGGCTGTCATCATTACAGTAACCCCACCCTGGACTTGACATCTCCTGTATTAGTCGGTTCTCATACTGCTATAAAGAACTATCTGAGGCCAGGCGCAGTGGCTAATCCTAGCACTTTGGGAGGCCAAGGTGGGTGGATCACAAGGTCAAAAGATCGAGACCGGCCGGGTGTGGTGGCTCACGCCTGTAATCCCAACACTTTGGGAGGCCGAGGTGGGTGGATCACGAGGTCAAGAAATCGAGACCATTCTGGTCAACATGGTGAAACCCCATCTTTACTAAAAATACAAAAATTAGCTGGGCATGGTGGCGCGTGCCTGTAGTCCCAGCTACTCGGGAGGCTGAGGCAGGAGAATTGCTTGAACCCAGGAGGTGGGGGTTGCGGTGAGCCAAGATCGCACCATTGCACTCCAGCCTGGGTAACAAGAGCAACTCCGTCTCAAAAACAACAACAACAAAAAGATCGAGACCATTCTGCCCAACATGGTGAAACCCCCATCTCTACTAAAAATACACAAAATTAGCTGGGCATGGTGGTGCCTGCCTGTAGTCCCAGCTACTCAGGAGGCTGAGGCAGGAGAATTGCTTGAATCCAGGAAACGAAGGTTGCAGTGAGCTGAGATCGCACCACTGCATTCCAGCCTGGTGGCAGAGCGAGACTCCGTCTCAAAACAAAACAAAACCAAAAAAAAACTCTTGGAGACTGGGTGATTTATGGAGAAAAGAGGTTTCACAGACTAACAATTCCACAGGCTTAATAGGGAGCATGACTGGGAGGCCTCAGGAAACTTACAATCATGGCAGAAAGGGAAAGGGAAGCAAGCATGTCTTAGCATGATGGAGCAGGAGAGAGAGAGCTCGCGAGGGGGGAGGCACCATACACTTTTAAACCATGCGATCTCAAGAGAACTCACTATCATGAGAACAACATGGAGAAATCCGTCCCAATGATCCAATCACCTCCCATCAGACCCCTTCTTCAACACGTGGGGGTTACAATTCTATAGGAGATCTGGGTGGGAATAGGGAGCCAAACCATATCTCCTCCAGAATCATCCCATCTCTGAAATATTTGTCCCACTCCCTGCTGCACCTCTCCTCTGAGCACTCTCAGCAGCCTTTCAATGATACCCCATCCGTGGTAACTGCCATAGTACCCCCTGGGCCCTTCAAAATCAGCAGCTCCCACCCAAACTAAACTAGTCACTGTCTCCCACACTAATCTTGCTTCTCCTCTGATGGTTCCTATTTTAGGTAGCGGCACAACCAACCCATAAAGCCAGCAATGTAGGAGCCTGCCCCATCTTCCTTCCCCTCACTCTCGCATCCATTGGTCATACTTGAGCTTGGTCACCACTTCTGCCTCTGAAATGCCATCTGAAGCCACGGCTGCCCCAGTTCGCCATCTCTCCTGCACGATTTCAGCAGCAGCCTCCTCACTGGCCTGGGTGTCTCTGCTGCTGCCTGCTCCCTGCCCACCCTAAAACCACATGCTACTACTTGCTGCCCTGCCCCATGCTGTGATCTTTCTAAAATGTTCATCTGAGTCAGGCACGGTGGCTCACAGCCGTAATCCTAGCACTTTGGGAGGCTGAGGTGGGTGGATCACTTGAAGTCAGGAGTTCAAGACCAGCCTGGCCAACATGGTGAAACCCTGTCTCTACTAAAAATACAAAAATTAGTTGGGCATGGTGGTGGGCACCTGTAATCCCAGCTACTCAGGACGCTGAGGCAGCGTCCTCACTTGAATCACTTGCACCTGAGAGGCAGAGGTTGCAGTGAGCAGAGATTGTGCCACTGTACTCCAGCAACAGAGGGAGACTCTGTCTCAAAAAAAATAAAAAAATAAAATGCGAATCTGATCATGTCATTTTTCTGCTTATGATGAAATCCAAAGTCCTCTTTTGGCAGTCATACCCCTTCAGGTCACCTCCCAACATGTCTCAGACTTTCTCCTCCTCTTGAGCTCCACACCATGGCCCCCCGACATGTCTCTCACTTTTCTGCATGTGCTATGCCCTGAGCCTGCATTGCCCTGCTTCCTGCCCCATTGTCCCTTGGTGGACTCTGAACCTTTAAAACAGTTGTCACCTCCTCCAAGGGGTTCTCTTAACCCCACCCCAAACTGGGTGAGTTCCTCCTCCCTGGGTGCACCTCTAGCACAGAGGGGACTCCTGTACCCCTGCTGGCTGGTTTCTCATTTTGGTGCTCTGCACAGGGCTTGGCCCAGAGTGTATCCTCTCCCCTATGTCCGTCTCTGCTGCCTCTCTAGCACATCCTAAGTGCTTAGCAGCCATCCATGGACTGAACTACTCAAGGATGCACCGCTAGGAAGTGTCTTTGTCAATGTGAACCCATGTTCAGGTGTGTTCAAAGTCTGCTTTTAACCCTGCTGAGGTCGTGTGGGCTGCCATGACCAAATGCTGTAGCTTGGATGGCTTATAAACAACAGACATTTACTTCTCCCAGTTCTGGAGGCTGGTGAGTCCAAGACTAAGGTGCCAGCAGATTCTGTCTGGTAAGGGCCCATTTCCTGGCTCATAGATGGCTTCTTCTTGCCATGTCCTCACATGGTGGAAGGGGTGAAGACGCTCCCGTGGGCCACTTCATAAGGGTGCTAATCCCATCACCTCTCCAAAGACCCTGCCTCCTAATACCAGAGCCATGGGGGTTGGGATTTCATGAATTTCAAGGCACACACCCATTCAGACTATAGCACCTGCTGGATAGAGTTGGCAGGGTAGCCTGGTGTAGCAGTTCAGCACGAGCGC